AACTGATGAGAGAAGTTCGGTTTTACGATTAACAAAATTGGGTTTATTCTAAGGAATAATGCTCGACGCACTGCTTTTTAAAACAATGATAAGGATGTTGATAATTTGTACAAAACTAGTGCAAAAGCATTAAATTTTTGAGAGAGTGGCTGCTGAGTGGTAGATTTTTGAAAAAATTAAAGCGAAAGCCTTTTTTTTTATTATTATTATTAATTTACCGCAAAAGCGTTGAATTTAACAAAATTGATGCGATTGCGTTTAATTCTTAGGAAATTACTGAGAACGCGCTAATTTTAGGTTAAAATTACTGGACAAACGCGCAATGTCATAGTTTTTTGGCTGAGTCCCTGGTTGCTTGAAACTACGTAGTCTGAAGAACTTCCTTCACCACTGCCTCATGCATGTAATCGTCGAACCGATCAAAATCATATACGATTTTTTTTAGTATAATTAAAATTGAAGCATTCAATAATAATTAAGTGCAAGAGCAATGACATAATATTTTGTTCAAATATCGTTAGAGATAAGATGACGAGAATACCCACTACGTGTGTTCTCACCTTACACGATAACCAAAAATTGATAAGAAAGTCCGACAAACGCGGATGAATGAGCGACTTGTATTTTGACACGATAAGATACTCTCACAATCAGTTGCTTCGTGTCTACCGCTGTATCGCGCGTCTTTTTCATTATTCTGTGAAGTTTTATTCCAATATTTTTTAATATTCGCCCGGAAAAATTGTTCCCTTGCTCAGTTGTGACATATTTTCTTTTTTCATAAACATATTTTGCAGAGTTAGACATGAAAGCTATTCAGCGGCGATTTCACAGAATGTAAGTTGTTTTTAAAGCTATGTGCGTATTGATTTTGCATTTCTCATAATGAAGTTTGGAACCAAGCTACTCAATACCAAAAATTCATATAAAGTTTCACACTCAAATGCAAGAAAAGGAAGAGAGTGAATGGACATAGACACAGGCACAGACAATAAAATATTTCAACTTGATGTACTTAAAACTTTTAGATTTCGAGAGGAGTAAGAGGTATACAAAAAAAGTTGACAGTCATTCAAAATTTTTAGATCGGTTTATTTCCATTATTGCATCACATACTTCTATGGACCAAACTCCTCGCGTCAATACATCTTCGATTAAGAATATCTTAAACGCTTCCATGATGATTTCACCTGCAAAATTACTCTAAAAAAATACAATCAGCGTAAACCCTTAGTGTAATGATGCGAAATTTATGGCTAATTGTAAGTATGTATATTTTTGCATATAAATTGAAAATATTCACAACTCTATACACGTACCTTATTTCATTTAATGGATATTTTCATATCACTAAGATTGGTCCAACGTCTGTGTATGCCGTTCCGTTAGATGCTCAATGCATTTGCTTGAGGTTCAAACAGATTCTTTTTTCGATTATCTATGTGTGCATTGCGTTTTGCGTTGAGTTTTGATGGAAATGAATGTTTTGAGGGTATTCAATCAATATCCTGTTTATTTAGAAATGCCATTTTCATGGATATTTTTTAAATGTTCGCATGGAAATTTTTTTTACTTTGTTTTGTGTCTTGTTTTTATTCTTGGGTGGTTATCTGTTTATTGTTTTTCCTGTTTGCAGTGATGGAGTGAACGTTGCAGCTCGCAGACTTCTAAGTCTTTCGGTGAGCAGATCGAATGGGGAAATGAACAAAATTTTAATCGCGAATCGAGGAGAAATTGCATGTCGCGTAATTAGAACGGCTCGTAGGCTTGGAGTTGAAACTGTGGCTGTCTTCAGTGATGCCGACGCCAAAGCTATGCACGTTTCACAGGTAAATCAAAAGATATCTCTTAAAAATTTCAGAAAACAACAGAAAGCACAACGTGTCATACATATACAACCAATGAGCTTTTACATATTGAATATTCATGGCAAAAATGGACCGAGTTCATCAGAAAGGGACCAACCCACATTAAGTTGAAACTGAGAAAAAGAGGTTTGAAGTTTTATTCCTGCATAAGGCTCAATGTAGGAATAAACTTTAATACCTCTTTTCACACACTTATTTCTGTTTATCCTTTCAGTCTTTGGCAGGAGAAAATATACGGCTAGTGGAACTCAAAAACATTCTTAACTCAATTTTTTCAAAAAGGTGGGTTGGTTTCTCTCTGATAAACTCGGTCCAAATAAAGGAATCGATAGTGAAACTGCAGAAATGCATATCTTAGTTTGCGGCGTTGCAGACTTCCGGTAATACTTTATTTTCCACAAGGAAAACTACGAAACGACTTTTTCCCAAAGCTTTGCTGATTTTCCTTCTCCATGTGAAGAATATTTTTACGGAATTTTAAATGATGTTGGTTTGGTGTTTGGTCTCTCGTTTAAAAAATTAAGTAGAGGCGGAGATTTTGAAACACCAAGACCGAGATATGAACCTTTGCAATTTCACCATCGAAATGCGTATCTAGTATTTACACTTCAACGGTTCAATATACCCGATTGTGTTTCATAATTATTGTGTTCATAATTTTCCCTCTAAAATTACAGTTCAGCCTGTTTAGCGTATTTTAATAGCGGCTTTTCATAGTTTTCGATTGCTGCTGTTGTTTATTATTAGGTGAGGTATTACTTACTTTTGTACACATTTTTTAGTGAATTCTCTTCAGGGCCTTAGACCAAACCATGCGAAATTTCTGTAAAAGATAAGTGGAGAAGGATACCAGCAAAGTTGCAAATCGTGATAAGTGCCATTAGAAATAATGTGACTAGATTTTAAGCAGAAATATTCTTGAATTTTCCGTTAAGAACCGATCTATTTTGAATCATGGAGGAAAGACCCTTACATCAAAGAAGTCACGTGTAGAAGCAGAAACCTTCCTGATCCAAATATTCTTGGTGGGAAATTCGAGTCCCTCTTTGCAGTGAAAATATTGTGCACTACAAAATATTAGTGGGGTGTATACAACGCTGTATCTCATGTATTTGAAGGCGCTTCTTTAACTTCAATCTGATGGTTTTACGTTTCATCCTCTGCAGGCCGATGAAGCGTTCCACATTGGACCGGCTGCCTCTACCCTGAGTTACTTGAACAAAACGAAAATTATAGAGACCGCAAAACAGGCAAACTGTCAAGGAATCCATCCCGGATACGGATTTTTGTCGGAAAATGCGGAATTCGCTGAGCTCTGCCAGGACGCTGGTATAACGTTCATTGGACCACCTCCGTCTGCTATCAGAGACATGGGTATCAAAAGGTTTATTCATCAATATTTTACTTTCCCTCTGTTATATTTTTTACAGTAAAAATTAAACGCATTATTCCCGACTTACGTACAAAAGCAGAACAAAAAATTAAAAGAAAATAAAATGAAATAAATGAAAAACTGATGGAATGAACTTATAAAATAAACTAAAAAAATATTTTGATTTTGAAGCACCTCTGCATGGGCGGAACTAAAAAATTTTTGTAGTGGGTGTGGCAGAGGGACACTTCGTTTAAGGGGGTCCAAGGAACATTAAAAAACACCTTCTTAAGGGCGATTCATGTAAATACCCCGGCTCCAAAGGGAATTCAGGGAATTTCTCTACCCTCAAAGGGGGCCCTTGGGCCTCCTATAGAAGATGTTGATAAATTGAGTCGTCTCAAGAGCAATTTTGAGTTGTTCTTACCAACAGGTTGAACTGAGTATTTCAAAAAGGAAAAATATCTTGCACATTAATTTAGCGAAATTCTTCACATTACTTAAGAAGGATAAGTAGATTTCTGGGAGGGGGCCAGACTTCAATGGGGGATGATTTTCTCTACTTTTTTTTTTTTTTTTAAATGTTTTTATGTTTTTCTCTGTTCTTACAGCACTTCAAAGGCCATCATGATCAAAGCCGGAGTTCCAGTAATCCAAGGTTATCACGGAGAGGATCAATCAATTCATAAACTGCTCACGGAAGCTAAGTCGATCGGATTTCCAGTCATGATAAAGGCAGTGTGTGGAGGTGGTGGAAAGGTATTGGGATTTTTTCCGAATAAAACTCTATTTTCATGTTGAACTTAAATGACTTATATCTCAACTGCAGCCGTTGCAATTCAAAATGTTTGCCCACTTTCAATTATTCAAAGGGAAAACGACTTCATAGCTACCTCTACGGTTTGTAATCTTGACAAGAGAACATACTCTTCCTACAATCGACTCGGGGGTAAACTTTGATTGATGCTGCAATTAAGATGTGATTTACATCACCTATAACGGTTATATCGGTGTGAGTATTGGAAGTTTACGATTCCCCTGGTAAAAATTGGCAGTAGAATCTGTGCTCCAAAATACCATAGACCTACGGCCGGCTGTAAGATTTCCAAAAGCTTCTATAGCCGGCTACACAATTTCTTATAGCCTTTTATAGTCGATGACGATTAAGCAACAGCCTGGCGATAAAGTGTATGCTAAACGTCACTAATTACGGATGCTAGGACTTAGTGAGTTTTTGGACCACTGCTCTCTTTTTGGGCTGTGGTATCTTGATTTATTTTGCGAGGAAAGCTCCGCACTTTTGATGGATGCCTGCCATTCCTAATATATTAGAGCGCCTTCAGTTTCGTATGATACTGTGCAATACCTCTGGTGTGAAATAGTTGCTTCAAGCGCCGTGGCACGCTGCGGTGGGGCAGACGGGCAGCCAGCGCGAAACGCGCATTGGCGCCTACAAACCTAACAGAGATACTTCACGCGTTGCGCAATGCGTGAGGTATCCCTGTTAGGTTTGTAGGCGCCAGTGCGTCGCCGCTCCGCTGTGTTAGGCTCTAATATTTAATCTGGCGGAGTCAGCGTTATTCAACTCATGATTTTTAAATGTTTGCACATCCTGTATGGATTATTCTCATTTTAATTGATGAAAAAAAATATGTATCAAAGGAAAATATAACGTGTGTTTTGTAAATATTAAGGTGGTTCCGTATCAAACTTAATGATTTCCACAGCACACGAATTTCTACACAATTTCTCATAGCCTTTTATCGATGGCGAAAAAGCAACAGCCAGGCGATAAAGTGTAAAGGCTGCATAATTTTTTATCGCTTCGTATAGCCCGGCCGTATGATTTTCTCCGCATTCTACAGCCAACTATATGATTTTCTGTAGCCTTCTTTAGCCGGCTATAAGAATTCCTATGGTATTTTGAAACGCAGCTCTTATCGTCAATTTTTACCAGGGTCAGATAACCAAAGTATAGGATAGAAAATACGATACTCCAAAATGGCCACCAAATACTTTGATTACTGAATCCTTGAATCAAAAGGCGATTCTATATAAAGTTCGGTCAAGGCAACTAGCCGGAGGAGGGGGAGGGGATGTGGCTTGAAGGGCTCCCTCGAAATCAAAAAAAGGTATTTTTCAAAATTTTCTGGGGAGAAGGATCTCTGAAACATGGATGCTGGATCCGCCTTATTGTAAGGGGAGTCTGCCCTACTTCCTCGGCTAAGCAAACAAAATTCTGGTTATGTCCCTAGTTCGGTTACCTACCTCAACTTAAAATCCACGGGGCATATGATAAAACATTTTTTTCACCGTGCATGGTGGTGGATAGTCGTGGGAAAACACTTTTTTTTAAATCAAGGAAAAAGGAGAGGGTTTTAGTCCAGTTACACGATCAAATTGAGCTATCAAATTGGGCCTCTCATTGGTCGTATCCTCACATCAGGTCTTTTTCCACCAATCAGAGCTTCAATTTGACGGCTCAATTTGATCGTGTAACTGGACCATTTTCGGAATTTGGAAACGCCGCCAGTGACTTTACGTGCTTCCATACTCGGCCATTTAATTTTAATCGACATTCTGCTTTCTCCGCGAGGTTATTGTACTCACACCTAGTTTAAGAGAGAATTTTGTGTAATTTTTTTTTTGAAACTTTTTCCAGGGAATGCGAATCGCTCAGGATGAAAATGAATTTGAGGCACAACTTGAATCAGCGAAGCGGGAATCTCTTAGTTCCTTTGGTGACGACAATGTATTGATCGAGAAATATATCAGTTCGCCTAGACACGTAGAGGTTCAAGTTTTCGCTGACAAATTCGGAAATTGCGTTTATTTGTTCGAAAGAGACTGCAGTATTCAGCGGAGACATCAGAAAGTTATTGAGGAAGCACCAGCGGTGAGTTTCTTAAAAGGAAGGGGCAGGGAGATTATATTCCTTCAGTGTTTAGAGGATTGAAACTACTGATTGAAGGACGATTATTTTCAGATTAATGATGCTCATTTTAACTACCTATCTTTTTTTGATGGGCATTGAAAAATAAGACTAGTGGGGTGAACATTCAAATCCATCCAGACATTTAGAAAAAAAAGTAGGACAAAAATTATTAAAATGAGAGTACATGTGTTTGACAAAAATTTATGACGAAGTCGCAAGTGACTGCTTAAGACTTGGAGTGCTCACAAAGCCGCAGAAGTCCAACAGCTCGTTTAAATTTTCAATTTTTCGATTCTGTTCAGCACAATCTCTCAAAAACCCTAGAGAAAACCAGACCGCAAAAAGACCGATGATTTTAAACGATCGGGAGCCTATATGGATGACTAAAGTTGAAAAGTGTGTATATTTATCACAAAGTTTATAAAATCTTCAATTATGTTACTTTAAGTAAACTATTTTGTTTGCTTTGTTAAAAGAACTAAAAAAATCATTTAATACTCTCCTTCAAAGTTTCAAGGGGTTTTTTTTTTTTTTTGATTGTTGCTAAAGAATTAATTTCGAAATAACTCCTTGAAATTTTTTGTGAATATTATTTAATAAGGAAGAAAAATTCACACAAAATGTCGAGAGAAAACATAGGACGGTTTACTTTTTAAAAAATAAAAAATGGCCAGATACGTATAAAACTGCGATTGAGTTACGCGTTTTTTGACTTCAGCCCTCGATTTCAGCCACGCGAAAGCAGCCGCATGTTAGCGGATGGCTACATACTCTCGTTGTCACTTAAGTATGGGGTGAACATTAGGTTGCACTTTTGAACTGAAAAGCTGTGAGATTCTTTTGGCGGGAAAATTTAATTTGAAGCTCTCACACTGGTCAGTTTGCACCGGCAACAAAATGCGGAACTTTATTCACACTTTAAAACACATCATACAAAGATGAATTCAGGTGATCTTTGTTTAAATTTTAATAAATGATTTGAATTTGATAAATTGTAGCCTGGTTTGTCGGAGGAGCAAAGAAGAGATATAGGCGAGGCGGCAGTTCGAGCAGCATTAGCAGTAAACTACGTAGGAGCCGGCACAGTAGAATTTATTCTGGATTCAGCGAGTGGAAAATTCTACTTCATGGAAATGAATACGAGATTACAGGTAATATTTGAAGGTATTAACAATTTTTTTTTTGTATTTTGGCAGATGGGCTTAGGATGAATAGTACGAGTGCGATTTCAGGGAGGATCAAACCACTGTACACCACATATAATAAAGTTCAATGGTTAAAAACAAGATTTTAGAATGTATAGGTAATTCCGCATTCGTTGAGGATTCGTAGCAGAACTTCGTGCAAGGATTTTTCAGAAAACCTGTACACTATGAGCATTTGAATTTTTAAAAACATTTTCTGATCCTGAAAATAAAAGGTACCTACTTCTAAATCTTTTTTCTTTTTCCCAGGTTGAGCATCCCGTCACAGAAATGATAACTGGATTGGATTTGGTAGAGTGGCAACTTCAAGTAAGTTACTCGACAGTCTCTATCAACCTTCTTACGTAATTAGATTCACCAATTGCTCATTTACCTCGGGACTTTTGCCCTCTAAACGAAATTCCATGAAAAAACGAAAATCAACGAAATTTTAAGTCCACGTTCAAGGATACAACTATTTCAACGCTCATGGACCATTATTTGCCTAACCGACGAATTGAAGGCGATACACGTTTACAGCCGTTAAGCGGAGCGTAGTTTCATCGTATCAAGAAAGCAGAAGAGCGCGATACGCCTTCAAGTCTTAAGAAGGCAAAATTAGTAGCTTCAATAGAGCTTTTCCTTCTTTTGAATCTACATTGCAGCCCAATTACTCACATGCTTACTTGCAAAGAACTTATTTCTTCTTTGTTTAAATGGAGTTTGCACTTGCCTACCATCTTATAGCTTCAAAAGGAGGCAACTTAAAAGAAAATCAAATAATTATCGAGTGAATAGGGCGGATAGGTAATTTTTGGAAGTAATACGATGATCCTGTTTATCTCTATTTTCTAAAGGTTGCCGGTAATAAACGACTACCTTTGACACAAGATGAAATTAAACTGAATGGGCACTCTTTTGAAGCCAGAATTTATGCTGAAGATACAGAAAGTGGATTCTTGCCCAGTGCTGGGCCTCTACTTCATTTGGACACACCTGAACCCTCGGCTGATATTCGAATTGAAACAGGTAGATATGGGCATTTACCTACATGGATGGTATCTATACATGCAGTTCTTTCATTCATAAGAATAATTTATTGTCACCGATAAAGATGAATTCCGAACACATAGAACTTGCTGGAACACTTTTTATTACCTTTAAGATTTGAATTGGATGCATGGTAGGTATATAAGCACCTAACAACATAATTTTATTCTTAAATCCTAATAATATTGGAATAGCCGCTGATCATTGATCTTTTTGGGATTATAGGAGTGCGGGAAGGTGATGAGATTTCTGTTCATTATGACCCCATGATTTCAAAATTAGTAGTATGGGCTCCAACTCGAGTGGCAGCTTTAAAAAGGCTCAAATCAAGTTTAGAAAATTATCATGTAAGTCCGCAATACCTACTTAATATACTTTAGATCTCTTACAGCAGGGAAATAAATCGTTCTTGACACATCGTGAAAATTGATTATTTTTAAGAAGATGAGTGAAATTATTCCAGAGAGCTATCTTACTTTAATACTACTAAATTGGAAATTTCTCTAATTAAAGTAAAATATTTGTGGAAACTTAAATCAGGTGGTATAGACTACTTTGCTTAAGCTTTCCTGTAAACGTCTTGATCAAAGCTCTAATTGCCATTGCATTCCATTTTTCAAATATAAGCACGGACACGTTTTTACGATCATTTTGAGCAGACATAGGTAATTATTTTGAATTCTATTAAAAAAAGCTGATGCAATTCTTTGATATTAATTTTTCTGTTCTTAATAGATTAAATGATTAAAATTGTAACTTTTTCCAGATTCTTGGTCTTGATGTAAACATTAACTTTCTGCGGAGATTATGTGGGCATCCTGATTTAATTGCTGGAGATGTCCACACAGGATTCATTGAGTCACATTCGGACTCTCTCTTATCAGTAGATAAGCCTACAAAAGAAGATATAATTCAGGTGTGTACTAAAGCCTCCTCACCAGATCATCAAAAGTAAAATCTTTCCTTGTAAAATGTACAAATAAAAATTCATTTACTCTGAATATTAAATGTATGACCATTCGCAGGTGAAAGAACCTGCACGCACCAAGGCAAATTTTTCAAAAAGGTGAGCGATCTTTGTCACGTTGGGTCAAAAAATTGGGTTTTCTATCAAAATATTTAACTTAATTACTGTGCTATTAGAGATTGTTGAGTTGCATTTCAATTAATTTTTTTTAGCCATAAAACATTAAGTAAGTAGGTATAACATAGGTAGGTAACTTTAAACTTTGGATCATTTTCTCTGGAGTTTAGTATACTTGCAAACATCCAACTGTCACAACTAAGGTTTGGTCAGACAATGTTGGGCGATTAACATACATAAATGATTGTTATGTTGTATGATTCCAGGCTGCTGTTGGTAAAATTCTGCATGAAAATTCTCAACTACGTGAAAATGCTCTGCTGTTAAATAGGTCTCTTTCAGTTTTTGATCTGGAGCCAGGCTTCAGAGTAAACCAGCCAAGAAAGAGAACTTTTAAAATAAGAAACAAGCACATAGGTAAGAATTTCATTTAAAAGAGGAAAACAGATTTTAAGCTTTCAATTATTTGGGGTTAAATACATCCTGATGATATTATCTTTGGAAAAACTTAAAAAAAACTGAATTGAAATGCATCTAAACTGCTTTAAATAAAGAGGAAAATAAAATATGTCTAACATTTCCGAATTTCATTACTTTTTCATTGCATTTTTTTTTTACTTTCTATTTTAGGGTTTGATTTATTTTTCCCTTTTTTTATGACTATAAGAGCACATTTTTGAGACTCATAATTCATCATTTTCTTTTATGATTTCACAGATCAGACACTGGAAGTTACAGCTAATCAAGGAGCGAATTTCAAAGTTAAATTTGAAAACGATCTGGAAGAAATTGAAGTGAATGGAGCCATAAAATCCTCAGATAAGGATAAGCTGAGTTTTGAGCTCTTGTTCAATGGTAGGATTTATAGGAGTAAAATGGTGCATAAATCGATGGAGAATTTCCATATATTCACGAAAGTAAGTGAGCATATAAAACTCAAGAGATGTTCTAAACAACCTTCTTCCTTTCACACTTGTACATTAAATTAATTCAATACACGCTTAAATAGCACGTATATTTCTGAAGATCTGATCATGATCAGGATCTTTCTTCATAATTTTTAAAGTCGAAATAGAAGATTTTAGGAGATACAATTTTGTGTTCCCTTCTTTTCGGCACTGAGAAACACAGAGCAAGTCTGAATAACAATTTGTACTTCTTCATGATTGAATTGTCAACTAAGTATGCTCAAATAAAACTGGTGTCAGACTTGTAGAATATCAGGGAATCACATCATACGAGTAATTCTCTCGAAAATGAGAGAGGAAAAAAATTACCAATTTTTTTCTTTACTAAAATCAATCACAAATGGTGGCTGATTCTGATACATTTTTTACTTATTTTCCAAACATTTTAGGTATCAGCTGTGTAATTTTAATTTTTAATTTTGCATCAGAGCTGTATAATAGTGTAGAGTTTAAAATTTCCTATCACAAAGCTTTTTGCACGGGTAAAAAAAAAAAGGGGAACAAATTAAATAACCTGCTTAATTATTGGCATTATCCTCAAAAGTAACACTTGAAAACGATTTAGGAAGCTATTTTAATGTGGTAGGAAGGGTTAATTCTACTTATTTTTCTTTTTTTCACAGAATGGTCATTTTACGTTCGATCTCGATAGTCCACTACACGATTTTACAGAACAAGAGAGAGATCAACCGAAAGGAGCAGTCTCTCCGATGCCAGGGGTGGTGGATCGAGTTTTTGTAAAGCCTGGTGATATTGTGAAAGCTGATGATCCTGTGATGGTTATAATTGCAATGAAAATGGAGGTAAATAAATTTTTCAATGTCTGATAAAATTTCAATACATACGTAGATTACAGCCCAACACAGTGGACAATATGAGTTAGAGGCCCAAGTTAATGACAAAACAATTCCACAAATTTTCTATGAATGAGATTTGAAAAACTAAACATAGATAAATGAAATTAAAGATTGATGACTGGCATCTAATATTATTTGGATTGCATTTTGCAAAAAGGAACCACTAGCATTGCAATGTTGCTAAGATTGTGCAACTTCTTTTGTCTTGGAGGAAAAACCCGATTGTCCCTTAATAGTTTCTATTTTACTGGCTAAAAACTGTAAATTTAAGACAAAAATTACCATCTAAATTTCATAGTTTTTCACAATTTCCGCAATTTTATTACAAAGGATGAAGTTGCACAATCTTAGCATCATTGCAATGCTAGTGGTTCCTTTTTGCAAAATGCAATCCATTTGTTCATCAATTAAATAGAGCAGTTAGCCGATTCATTCTTTTGGGGTTGAAAATTACTTGATCTTTTTGAGAGAGGGAAAGATGAGAAAGGCTAAGACGATGGCTAAGATGATGTGTGTGCCTGTGAGCTCAACTAAAAGGTTGAAATAGTTTAAAGTGCCTAATAATTGTTTCTAGGGAGATGATTAATTAATAATTAACTTCCTGCTGTTCCAGTTTGTGATCAAAGCACCAGCGAGTGGAAAAATCAAGGAGGTGATGTTTTCATCAGGCGATAATATTGGTAAAAATGTACCAGTTATCAGATTAGAGGAGTCATGAGAATAATGAAAATTACACATATTTTGACTGCCTTCTTCAGACTGTTTCTTTCTTTATCTTCCAGCTGCCACTAATATTTTAGACACTTAAAAATCATGTAGTCATATGACGTTGCAAGGAAATCAGATGTTTATTTCCTAGCTAACTCTGACTAGCTTCCCAGCACTTGCTACTTGGGTGAAACTTATGGGTGAAAGCTCTTTTATATTCATTTTACTAAACCTTAAAGGGAATTTCAATTCTGAAACAGAGAGGCAAAATCAGTTTCTAATATTATGATTTATTTTTAACAAAGTATACAAGACAAATTTCTTAAAAATATAAGTAACAAACTTGATTTGATCAACTTCATATTGACAGTTGACAATAAGGAATTCGGAATACTGATCAATTGCTTTACGTACTTTCATGAATTTTATTGCCACCATGCAATCCGTGAAGTGTTTATGTACAAATGGAAATGTAATAGCTATAGGATATTATAGGTTAACAGAATAGGAGAAAAAAGTCATCAAAAAGTGGGGGGAAACTAGGAAAATCATAGATCAAATATACGGAGAGGACTGAGAAAAAAGTATGCTCTCTCAAGCATGTAAGATGATTGGTTAGTTTTTACAGAACAATAAGTACCAGATACAATGTGAAACTTTGTGATAGATTAAAAAAAATCCATAAGAATGTGCTAAGCATTGGATACCTAGAAAAATAACATTCTATAAATGTATAAAAACCAATGATCGGAGGAGCACAGTGTCTGGGGGTTCAGATGACAATTTATTTGGGAATGACAAACTTCTGTGGATGGACTCAAACCTCCCGACAGAGCCGTTGATACAGTTTTCAGTTTTTTTGCTTTTTCCTTTCTTCTTTTTTGTATCTTTTTAAATGGTTTAATTACAAAAAGTACTTTCTAGTAAAATAAAATTTTAAAAACTGATTATTTGAATAAAGTGATACCATTTTGAAAGGAGCACACCAGGGTATTTGTACGTCTGTCCTTCCAACCAGGCACTTGCACTGGAGATGTTGAGCGAAGCCTTTCTGAGGAAATTATGCTGCTTAAAATAGTTTCTCCTCCTACTTAAAAGAAGAGATGCTGCTTTGAAAGGATTGAAGGACTGATAAGAATATCAGTGGCGTGGCGTGCTTTGCGATATATCGATTGTTACGCTATTTAAACAAAGGATCGATAAACAGGGTGTTCGCAGCGAACACCTTAATAATCGATTCTTTACCAAAGGTTAAAATGGCAGAACCGTCGATAAATCGCAATTCACGCCACGCCACTGAAGAATATGTTTATGTGACTTTGGTCTTACACTGTTATTCACTGTTTTAGCCTTGAGTAGAGGAAATCCCTGAGTTAATTCCTTCATATCCTGACAGTTTTTATTACGTTCATTCCAAAATTTTTTCACTTCAAAATTGACATTCAAAGGATACAAGCTGTCAATGGTTACTTTGTTCCAGAATCTCTGTGATTAAAATATTAAGGCATGAGTGAAAAAAATATAGCGTTGATATTTAACACTTTCATTTACCACTTCCATTTTATGGATCCAATTTTTAAAATCCAAGATTTTAGTCTGCAGGAGACTCAATACAAGGAAGGTGGAGTAAAAATCTTAATTATCCTCTTACAAACGAGATCACTTTCTACATTTAAAAGCTCAGTAAGTCCTGTGACTGTGGCAAATATTTTAATTTTTTAGTATCACAAAAGTGTTCAACACAATTAAGTATTTTACTGAGCCATGACATCACAAAAAACTTAATCACTGCGAACACAATATTGTCTTACAATTACTACAGACTAAAGATTCAAATCCAAAACTGCTAAATTATCACTGATAATTTATGCTCTATAAAAATATGGTACATTTTGTGTAAAAGCTTTCTTCTTAATAGTGAAAATTAAGGTGATTCCAAGTGNTGGCAAATATTTTAATTTTTTAGTATTACAAAAGTGTTCAACACAATTAAGTATTTTACTGAGCCATGACATCACAAAAAACTTAATCACTGCGAACACAATATTGTCTTACAATTACTACATACTAAAGATTCAAATCCAAAACTGCTAAATTATCACTGATAATTTATGCTCTATAAAAATATGGTACATTTTGTGTAAAAGCTTTCTTCTTAATAGTGAAAATTAAGCAGAAAACTAAACTAAAGAAAAGGGGCAGAGTGATTATGGATAAAATACCCTCAACTGCAAGAGGTAAATGAGGCAGAGGTTAGGTGGTGCCTCCTTGTACATGGATTTTCTACAGACAAAAACTTTACCACTTGAAGTCTAAGAACCAAATTTTAGCATAGTGCTGTTTTTTAAAGAAAGACATGGGCTTTAATATCAGTGATTGTATCACTAAATATGAATTATAGTGTGGTTTCCAGTGATGACGTAATTGTAAAAACAGAGATGAGTAAACGACACCCACACACAATTTTTTTTGTTAATTAGGATACATTTACCATTATTTAAATATTGGGTTGGTTTGATTAGTACCCCTTCATTAAGGTAATAAAACAAGACACACAGAAGAAAGTAATTTTCCAGAAAGATATTACTGAATTCATTTGCACTTCTTCATCAATTCTGTGAGTGTCAATTGAAGCAAAGAACGAATTTCCAGGAAATGTTACCTCAAACTGTGTGTTCAGTAAAATAGTCAAAAAATTATGGCAGAATACAGCTCTTTCACTGGACGCAGATACCCACAAAATAAAATGCGAACCGTTCGCTTCTCACCTTTACCACTATCATTGGTTCAGAGGGATTTTTAGGAAGTAATATGTTTCTCCTAACTTCCCCAACTACTTTAGTGTCAACAGACAGTTCAAAAAAAGATTTAAAAAAACCCAGAGATGTAGAAAAGCATACTAGCATTCATAAGAGTTCTCATATAAGTCTGCATTGGCTATCAAAGGACGATGAGAATATCTCATAGACAATGGTGAAGGTTGATCAAGGAGAAACCATCACAGAATATCTCTAGTGAGGAGTGGAAAAAGGAAGAGAAATACCTCGATTTGTGACGTCCATGTTTCTGTCATATTTCTATTTGATGATAGTAAAGGACTAATATCTTCCTATCATNAATTGGGCAACCGCAACGGCAACCATGCAGCACGCAGCTGACATCGGCATATCGCTATCTCTCTCTTACTCATTACGATGCCCTATGTAAAATCCGTTCCCGTACTTTCGGGTATATTTTTGCAATAATTCTTGACAAATTTGGTATCATTGTGCTCAGAATTTATGCGACTACACGTTATGGATCGATTTCCTTCATAAAAATCAAAGTGGCGACGACAATTCCTTCCTGAAGACTCACTCACGTAGCAGCGCTACGTGGTGGCGGTTGCCTTCCCTAGATCACTTGGAATCACCTTAAGCAGAAAACTAAACTAAAGAAAAGGGGCAGAGTGATTATGGATAAAATACCCTCAACTGCGAGAGGTAAATGAGGCAGAGGTTAGGTGGTGCCTCCTCGTACATGGATTTTCTACAGACAGAAACTTTACCACTTGAAGTCTAAGAACCAAATTTTAGCATAGTGCTGTTTTTTAAAGAATGACATGGGCTTTAATATCAGTGATTGTATCACTAAATATTAATTATAGTGTGGTTTCCAGTGATGACGTAATTGTGAAAACAGAGATGAGTAAACGATACCCACCCACAATTTTTTTTGTTAATTAGGATACATTTACCATTATTTAAATATTGGGTTGGTTTGATTAATGCCCCTTCATTAAGGTAATAAAACAAGACACACAGATGGAAGTAATTTTCCAGAAAGATATTACTTAATTCATTTGTACTTCTTCATCAATTCTGTGAGTGTCAATTGAAGCAAAGAACGAATTTCCAGGAAATGTTACCTCAAACTGTGTGTTCAGTATAACAGTCAAAAAATTATAGCAGAATACAGCTCTTTCACTGGACGCAGATAACCACAAAATAAAATGTGAACCGTTCGCTTCTCACCCTTACCACTATCATTGGTTCAGAGGGATTTTTAGGAAGTAATAGGTTTCTCCTAACTTCCCCAACTACTTTAGTGTCAACAGACAGTTCAAAAAAAGATTAAAAAAAACCCAGAGATGTAGAAAAGCATACTAGCATTCATAAGAGTTCTCATAAAAGTCTGCATTGGTTATCAAAGGACGATGAGAATATCTCATGGACAATGGTGAAGGTTGATCAAGGAGAAACCATCACAGGATATCTCTAGTGAGGAGTGGAAAAAGAAAAAGGAATACCTCGATTTGTGACGTCCATGTTTCTGTCATATTTGATGATAGTAAAGGACTAATATCTTCCTCTCATGGAATTTCAAGTCTTTGCCTTCCAAAGAATATAAAAATATTTCCAGAAACTTTCATGCAAAAACGTTAGGAAAACTTCCATTAAGAAACTAAAATACGAGCAGTGATTTTGACACATCATGATCAAGATGCGCGATCTTTTAGGTTTGCCATTGATAAATAATTCTTATCAACTGGCATGGAAATAACCGAATATTCAGTCAAAGAAAAACACAAACGGCCCAGATCAGCAATATTTTGTACTTGGCAAAGTGTACTGCCAAAAAAAGTCAACTTGCTTCCACTTTGAAATGCTTTATCTGTACACTTGCCACTTGCCATGTATAACAGACATTACTAGCTTCTAGAATAAAGCTTTCCTAAAATTTCCTACTTGCCTAAAACGGCAAAAGACTCAAATCAGATCTGCGAATTGATCTTACCTTGTTGCTGATTATCTCAGGCCCCTGCACAGATATCATTTGATTTAAATAAGTTCAAAATGTTGATAAGAACAAACATACTCGCAGCGCCTAAAGCAGCTCCTAATTGTGTGGAGACTCCATACCAGAATAATCCTTTGTTACCCGCATCATTGAAAAGTGCTGCAATTGAGAGTTTGGTGTATGCTATGAGTCCAGAGCAGACAATCCAGCAGAATACCTGTGGAAAAAAATATTCATGATAATAAATTGCATATTTCAAAAAATGTATTTTCTTCTAAAAAAGGAAAAGAAGAAAAAAAAAGAACTCTTAACAACAGCTTGAGAAGCAAAAAATTGAACCATAGTTTTTTCAATTAATTAATATATTGAGTTTTCGCTTTCATTTTTTTGTCCTGAGCACATAAATAATCGGAGGATACAATGTTTTGTGGGCTACATTTAAAATCACAAATTGCACAACAAGACAATTTAAAGTCAACGAAAAGGTGCGACCTATTGTAAAGAAATATCATCACTCTCTCCGCATAGTCTAAACTGGGCAATAATGGAAGCGATCTGAAGAAAAAGGTGGCAGCCAATCATAGACACACGTAACTCCCTTAATCTGAAAATTGATTCGATTTAGAATGGAATTTAGATCAAATGGTGGCATGGATTCCAACGATCTTAGTGTCAATGGACGCAACTAAGTTAGGGGGATGGCGTAATTTCCGCGTAAAAGGGTTTCATGAAGATCCATTTAGTTTTCAACATTTAAATAACGATTAATCGAAACTAGGTACTTATGAAAGGAAAATTTAGGCCGGCACCACTCAAGTTTAATCTGATATTGAAGGGCTCTTCTGTCCCAAAACATTTGTAAAACAACCTTTTAGGCTAAAGTAGGTATCAATAATACGATTTTGAATTTTTATGGGCTCCAGTCTCTTTTCCCAAGGGAAGTCACATTTTCATTCTACCTAGATATGTTTTAAATTCCAAAATTCGTCGTTCTCCGCGCGAAGGAACGTAACTTCATTCCAAGTTTGCAAAATTGACTCAAACAATTCAATTTTTTACGAGAGGAAACCTGCATAGTATTCGCTGAAAGTTCGCCTGATTTTTGCAGAAGATCAGACAAAAAATTAGTAAAATTTTCAGTTAGAAGTTCTTAAAATGCTCCTGGTAAAAGCGCAATTTGCACGGAGAAATCTGGCAACACTGAAACGTAGTTACGTTTTATCGTGAGAGAAACGACGAATTCTAAAATAGTTGTTGGTCAAAAATTGCACAAACAGCACGTCATTGTATTAAAATCTTCTTACTTATTATTCATCATCAAAAATTAGATAATCATTAGATATTGTGCTTCCTCGGTATTGCAAGCAAAAAGAGGAAAAGAGGAGTGAAAAAGACAGTGACTAATCCTTACCCAAAGTACCTCTTTTTAAACAAGGATAATAATGCCCAAGTTAACTGAAATCTACTCCAAAGGCGGATCCAGCCCCCCCCCCCCAGTTCGCCCAAAAAAAGGAGGAAAAAAGGGAAGGGATGGAAGGAGGAAGAACGTTTGTATTTGCAGGGTGTCTACTTTTTTTTCATCTCGGAAAATCCTGATTTTCCCCGATTTTTGACTGCTGAATCCTGATTTCATAATTTTCCAAATCCTGATCGTTTGCAAGAAAAAATAAAAATTTCTGCATAAGCGTATGCGAGAGCATGAAAAAGTCCGATCGGACGGCCGACTTTTCTCAAATCCTGATTTTACGACCGATTTTTCCTCAAATCCTGATGAAATCAAGATTAGACCCTGACTGACCTGAAATCCTGATAGAATCGGGAAAATCTTGATGCTAGACACCCTGATTTGGCAATTATTCATGACAAAATTGACTCAAACTGCATGTTAGATGCTTTAAAATTTCGGAACAATTCTGGGGGCAGCCCCCCCCACCCNCCCCCCCCCCCCCGTATGCCTCACCTCGTTCGAAGTGTCTAGATCCGCCTATGATTTTTATTCTTTACATTTTTTGAAGGGGAAAACAGAATACATACCACAAGTGCTTTCCCAACGAATTCATCGGCCAAAGGAGGAGTCGGGCTCAACACAGCCAGCGTTATGACGTAGGAGACGAAGACAGCCAACACAGCGCTGAGGGATGAAATCGCTCTGATGGACTTGTGAGGAACGAAGTAAGCCATAAAGCAAGCGATCGGGTTCGCGATGTGGACCAGCGTCACACACAGGTGGTATACTTCATAGCCATAAGGTAGACAAGAGTACGACTGCAAACTGGGCAGTGAGCCATTGGCGAGGAAAGAAATAACACCTTGGAGTAGAAGCATAGCACCATAAGAGTAAGGGGTCAGAATAACGGCTTTCTTCCCGCCCTCGAACTCATCGTCGGACAATCTATTGGTGTTAGGATTCGGGCTATCCCTCAATCGGTCGATGACCAGTCTCTTCTTCCTCTCCTTCACGCAGATCGGTAAATTATTTAACATTAAAAATGAGATCAAACTGACGACCATCAGGCTGAAGATGACCAAGAAGTAAGTCTGGGTGGAGAACCTGGGAGGGTGAAGCTCTGGGAAAACTGCGACCGAACCGTCAGGTTGAGTGACGTTCTTGCATTCGGGTTTGTCGCCTATGCCTTGAATGAGGGCGATACCGCTGGGAATGAACCCGCTGAGGCCTTCGCCGACCAGGAGGGAAACTAGGTAGGTCTCAGGGAAGCGACCGATGAAGGGGAAAAATAATACTGAGCTTGTGCATCCGACCAGGGCTATGAAAAACGTGCCGGCCATCAGTGACGTGCTGTGGGGTGCCCCGAAGACGCTGCTGGTTTGGTCGTAGTTGAACGCCATGTGGAACATGGCCAAGGCCCCCAGGAAGAGGATGACGGCTATGACGTAGGAGTCTTTGACGAAACCCGGGCAGTTCCGTTTGCTGAAGTAGTAGAGGAGAGGCCCGATGTTGGCCATCTGGATGATGATGGAGAGGTAGGATGGAAGGGACCACCCTTCGGGAGCCGCCTGGACCAGGATCGGGAGCTCGTTGTACATCCCGTTGACGGACATCCATGATCCCAGACCGAAGAGGGCTGCTAAAATGTCAACCAGAAGGGCTCGACTGCTCTCCATAGAACGCATATTGGTGTTCAATAACGGTACAATTTCATCCGCACTGAAACATAGAGAAGGAAAGATCCATCAGATATAGACACAATAAACATAGGTTCAAATAATTGGAAATCGCGGCGAAATTGTCGAGATGAAGTAGACTACACTTTGCAATTAGGAACTACAATTTTTAGCTCGTTTTAGGAACAACGTATGTGCCATTAGTTTCCCTTGGCAGATGGGTGTTTTTTGTGTGAGCAAGAAATTGTAGTTCCTAATTGTAAAATGCGGTCAAACTAGTCTCTATCATCAGTATTATGCCTGAAATTCTTTTCAAAAAAAAAAAAAAAAAAAATGTTGTAACATGGCTAAATTATACACTCATGGTCAGTCGTATCCAATGAATGTCGTGGGTCACCTAAATTTTCCTTTGCGGAAAGTTAAAATGAACATGAAAGGAAATTTCCTGATGGATACATCGAATTGTCGGTTACTGCGACACTAATTGAGATCTTTGAGATCTTTTTTCACCACCAATGTTGACGAAACGTCTCGATTTTTGAAGGGACGCAAAAGTACCGGTATTAAAATTTCCCCTTCATTTTTGCGTGATACCAGAATGCGAACTAACAAGCGCGAACAGTTGCTTCTTTTATTTCTAGTCGCATACCTCGCACAGTTTTCAGAGGAGAGGATATGGGGGTTGGGCGGTAGTCTACATGCATTATTATAGGGGCAAAAACGGGAGGAAAGGAATAAAGAATGAGAGAAAAAGCAAAAAAATAATTTACGATTAATTTTTGCTAAATTTCATATTGAGGATTCAACATGGAAAAAGTACCTGCAAACGCTCATGCCTAAACATCAAACTTCATTTTCCATTTTTCATCTGAGAAAATGAGATACGAAGCGGGGGAAGAGGAAGTATGCACGGAAAAAAATTAAATATTGATTTAGCATTTATACTGTTAAAGAGATGTCAGACAAGTTTCAAATGCTCATTTTACAATGCAAAAATGCTAACATAACATTTTAATTTGTACGTTTTGCAGTGGGCGTAGTTACGTTAGCATTTGTTAAAATGTAAAATCAGCATTTGAAACTTATTGTCGGACATCTTTTTAACAGTATAAATGCTAAATCAACATTTAATTTCTTTCCGTGTGCGGTGCCTTAAAAAATCGTTTTAAAAACACAGTCCGATGAGTGGCCCTGTACACGGGACACATTGGAACTGACCTACGTTGCGTCACTTGGAGATGGAGGCCAAAGGGATGGCTTGGCATTAACCCAGAATGATAGGTTCTTTTTGAGCATCCGACTGCAACAAGTGGTGAGTAACCGTGCCAAGTATGAATCTTCATTCAATCGACTTTGATTCACGCTATTCGCCTTTAATTGCGGTGGTCATCATCACAAATTACACCTATTAAGAGGGGAAAACCGTGGAACAAGGAGGGTGTCACTAAACTCATTACACGACATTATGCCGATATCAAAAGGAAAATAACCGTATGGTAGGTAATTTTTGACGGATTACTATACTAATATCAGTGTTCCTATTGCAAGGTCTGAAAGTTTCAAAATAGATGTTCTTTCTTTCAGTGGTGTGGCGTGCTTTGCGATACATCGATTGTTATGCCATTTAAACCTATGGGAAAGGATCGAGAAACAGGGTGTTCGCAGCAAACACCTTAACAATCGATTCTTTACCATAGGTTTAAATGGCATAACAATCGATACATCGCAATTCACGCCACGCCACTGTTTTCTTTACAGGGAAACAGCACCATTTAAAATGATCTGCGCGTTATTTACAGGCAAAAATAATCCTTTCGTAAATTTTATATCCATTGCAGAACTTACTTAATCATTCAAAATGCCACTTCGCGTAAAAGCAACATCTCATTGAAAACGGAGTATCTTTGCCCTTTGCCCAACGACAGATTTTGAATCTTCATTTTATTCGGTTTTTTGGGCCACTTATGAAATTTTTTTGTGAGAATCTAACTTCATTAGTTAGTATATCGTTCTTCCTTCAAAGTTAAGGTTGAATTAGGCATGATAAAGCAAATTTTTATAGGTACTCAAACGGATCTATATGATCGGCCAGGTTTTTAACGATGTATTATTAAGGATTGAAAAAATTAGGGAACTAGAGAATAAGACAAACAAATGTGTTTACAATTAGACAAATTCACAAAAACTTGTTCGATTCTCTTTCATAATTGGACGTATTTATGCTAAAAAGAATTATGTTGCACGTGGACCCTCCCTACGCACATAGTTCCTTTTAGCATAATTAGTCCAATCATGGATTAATACACTAATCGGGGATGCAAACGATTAAAGTTAGAAAAATAATGATAAAAAAAGGAGTAGGTAATCAGTACGGGTTTCTTTCCATTCAGTTATATGAAAATTTAATTTAAGCCTCCAATTCAACCGCAAGGATAAACCACTTTAGAAAAATGACGACGATGCTTAATGAAAGTGATATAAATAAATTTTAATCAATGCATTAAAGTGAATCTCAAGAGGAGACAATCAATAAATAACGAATCTCTCCTCAATAAAGATAAGCCTGTAATGTCTTACGCTTTCATGAAGCTAATAATTCTGCGTTTTGAAGAATGTGGCTGTACTTTCCAGATTATTCGTTTTTTTCTAGGGCAAGTATGAGTGGCTGGAGAGACGTGTCACTCAGTTTAATGAGTGAAGGCAGAGTTAATATTTGAGACGCAAACTTGACCTAACGAAAAGGGAGGGGTTCAAATAGGGTAAATAGCGTCTTTCCTCCACGACCAGGAGGGCAAATAAAAATGACATTTTAACTTCACAGACTGACCCAGGTCTCTCACGCTGTCACTACTTGTATTCGGCCGTTGTACTTGGAACAAAACCCGACTCGCCCAAAAACTGTGACACGACAGCGAGCTGCTACAAAAGTTGTTATTTGTCATGGTGCAAATCCATGATTCAGACCAATATCGAATAAAATTTTACAAATGATAACGACCCGTAGTTTTTGATCGGCTAGCCCAGAATTACTAAACTAGGCGTATTTTTAATATTGATAGTATCGCGATCGCCTACTTTTAGGAGTTGCTGCTATTCACGAAATTACTAAAAAAATAAAATCATAAAACTGCAAGGTGAGCGAGAATTGTCGCCTGCAACCGGTGGCGACTCTTGAGAGTTGGCTACACTGTTTATTCTCCGTTTGGATAATGTAAAATGATCGATTCTTGGTGATACAGCTTGCCTCACCGATACTTTCAATGGATTTAAATTGGGGGAAAACAGTGATACCGACTTGCAAAATCGCAACTGCCTTCAACTTAGGGATTGATTTGACTATAAACCGACTGAGTGAGAACTTTATACGTGACGTATTTCTTAATCCTAGTACATTGAAGAAGGGACGAAGTCATAAAATGAGCCTCATCTCTTGAGATTTCAGTAAAGGTTCAAGACTAGAATGAGAAAACTCCAATGGAGATGTTGTATGTGTGAGTGATTTGCAATCTGACCATTGATTCTTATGTAAAAGTTCGCGAGAAACATGATAGTGCCACTGGTTTTCTCTAAAATCATCTCCCAAGCTCAAAAAAAGCTCTCAAAGTGAGGCTAAAATGGAAGGGATATCCCACCCTACCCTGAGAGTCCACCTCTACATCAAAACAAACTCTCCATGCAAAGATAGGGGGCAAATACATTAGCAGGGTTGCCACTTTATTTGGGGACTCCAAAACTGAAAACACGGCATCACTGCCGTGCACGGCATCACTGCACGGCATCAATATGAATTATTGTGTGTTTTCAGCCTCGTTCCCGCCTTTTCTTGTACTTTTTAATGGACCCTAGTTGAGCCAATTGTACGACACGGTTGCAAATTGTGGCTGAAATTGCCGCGAATTTCACCGAAGGCAGACAAAACCTGGCATAAAGGACTGATCTGATCTGACAGTGACGGAAAATCATACTAGCAAATTTTTTTAAAATGTTTTTGCCGGAGTAGATATGCAATTTTTATCTCCTTTTAGGTTCTAGATGCATGAAAGAAGTACACCACATAATTATAGGCGGAATATTGCGTAAGATGTGATCTGTGAATGTGTATATTTGAGTCTGGATTCTTCAGTGTATATAGCTCATTTAATTGCTGAGCAGACAGTTCAGTGGACGGTTTATCATTCGTATCATTGAAAAAGCAATTCATGATATGGTATTAAGGCACACGCTGTTTAAAAGAATTGCAGATCATGAAAAGATTTGCGTGCATCTTGAGAGAGAAAAGGTTAGATTGACACGCAGGACAACGTGACGCTCTTTTGACGCCAACACAGCATGAGTTTTCCTGTATTCATTGCAAGAATCTTGTAACTGTGACAAACGGTTTGTTACAGTTGAGAAAAATTTAAGGTGTGGCTAAAAATGTTCAAAGGTATAATGCCTTTTTCTGGGTCTTCTCGCTGCCATGACCAGGGACTGGTGACATTGTTTTTTAGCTTTTATTTTTTTTAGATTTTTTAATTCTTTTTCAACGGTTGATAATGACCGTGAGACCAGTTGAAACGTCCTGTGTTTATTTGCTTCCTATCTTTGCATGGAGAATTTGTTTTGATGTAGAGGTGGACTCTCAGGGTAGGGTGGGATATCCCCTCCATTTTGGCCTCACTTTGAGAGCTTTTTTTGAGCTTGGGAGATGATTTCAGAGAAAACCAGTGGCACCATCGTGTTTCTCGCAAACTTTTACATAAGTATCGATGGTCAAATCGCAAATCCCTCACACATGCAACATCTCCAATGATCTACTCGACACTACTAATAAAGATTGCAGAATATTATGAAAGGGTAGGATCAGAATCCTTCACGAACCCGAGACGATGATATAATTGATGACTGCCACCGTTGATCAAGAACTGATCACAGAACGTAAGATGTGCTCAGGAGGACCCGTCAGCCTATGGAACTGGATGATACATTCTGAGCCGTTATTGCATCAGCTTCTGAGGCTGAACTGCCCCAATTCTAACTTGCTGACTACCGGAAAAAATGTAT